CAGACAAACAGCACTAGGCAGAAGAATGAGGCGGGGGCAACAAGCAACAAGGCAGACAAAAGAACAAACAGCACAAAAAAACACAGCGAAAAAAAACAAAAGATGAAAGATTGTTTTGTCGGAGTTGCACCGACTCATGAGGAGGCTGAACCCTCGACAATCTGCGGAATCCCCGTATTTGATGGTTTGGGTCATGAACCCTTCGACCCATGTTGAAGGCAGACTGTCCCCAAGCGGGACATAGCAGCGGGCAGCAACCCTGTGGAGCACCAGGCAACACAGTAGAGGCAGCCCAACCGCTTATCACCAAAGACGACTGCAAGGAACGACAGGGCAAGTGGACGAGCAGCTCGGCAACCATGCGGTGAAGCGCAAGGCAACATCAGCAAGGCGACCACACTACAAAGCACGCAAGCAAGTAAAGGACGCGGAAGGCCAACAGGGCAAGCGGACGAGCAGCTCGGCAACCGTGCAGTGAAGCACAAGGCACCACCAACAAGGCAACCAATACAAGGCATGCACGCAAAGGACACTGAAGGCCGACAGAGCACACAGACAAGCAGGCCAGCAACCGTGCAGCGAAGCACGAGGCACCGCCACAAGGCTACCAAACCACAAGGCACGCGAGCAAAAGACACGGGAGGCACGACCCGCGGGTAGGCGGCAAGGCGGCAGAGCAGCGAGGACGACCTGCAAAGCAAGCGGCACGGGCAGCAAGACCGTGGCAGAGCGCAGACAATATAGTCTACACATCCAACACGGAGCAAAACAGCACATGACCTACTCACATCACGAAAGAACCCCGCAGACTGTTGGTTCCCACCACCCGCTGAGCCAGGGGGACAATCCGACGACCATTCGTCGTCACCTACAGGCAACACAGACATCCCGAACTGAGCGGCCCCCATAAGAGTGCAGTAGGCGCTCCAAACGAGGAACCACCGACTGTTTGGCACTACTTAAGGGTGCTCGGTTGGGCACACAAAACATACTTAGAAAAAGTCAGGGGGAGGACAGACAACAGAAGAAAGGCCAACAGACATAAAACTGATTGTATGTGTGTGTGTGTGTCCTACCCATGAGATGGACTACTGTTGTCACCCGAATTTTCGTTTTTACTCTCCTTTTCTCAATAGAATGCCCCTTCGAATATAACGCCCGCACGTTATATTTGAATGTTCCATGGGCAGAGTGCCTGTAGAGGTAGTATACATGGGTTTGAAAGGGTGGGGAGGGAGGGATATATGTGTTTAAAGGGGGTTGAAAGGGGTTTTGACTTCGAAGGGGCATATTTTGGTTTGATTTTTGTTTTTATTTTTTATTTCCGAGTTTCTAAGGAATTCTGTAGTGACCCTCAGCCAAAAGATGGTCGCATTGCAATTCTGGACAACATATTGTTTTCACAGAAGTTTTTGATTTTTTTTTTTTTTTTTTTAATTCTGGACCCCACCGAAGTTGCCACCAATTTACTGAAAATAACGCCCGGGCGTTATTTTCGGGTGAAGACGGTAGTGTCCGGGGGCACTAGGCCATACAGCCCGGTGCCCCACGGACTCCGCACAGGCATACACACAGACACATGCACGACCCATGTTAGACAAACACTAAGAGGACAACCACTATTTGCATCGGGAAGTGCATTCAGAAGGCAAAGAGGCACGAAATTTGGCAAGTGTTGGGAGGACACACACGGACAGCAACAAAGCTACGGAGGATGACCCATTTGCAAGCATAAAGAGATGAATCTCTGCGTGTGTTTGTTTTTATGGTACGAGGCTCTGGTGACCATGCCGCGGCATGTTGCGTCGGAAGGTGTGCTTATAAACAACACAGGGAAAGAGCCCTCAGCCAGGTTTGCCCATAGAAAAGAATGCTTAATAGTGTCCAGCTTTCAAAAGCCATGAAACAAAGAAAACAAAAAAAACAAAAAACAACCCAGCAGCAAGGCAAGTTCAACCATTCAAACAAAATGGTGAGGCGAAGGTCAAGATGAACACGGCACTTGGACGACAAGCCGCAGCGAAGAACAAAGGGTGGAGGGCATGGGGGAGGCGGGCGTGGGGACAAACAGCGCTAGGCAGATGAACGAGGCGGCAACAAGGACCACTAGTGCGGTGAAGCAACAGCATGGAACGTAGGCTGGAGGGCGTGGGGGAGTCGGTCGGTTGGGCAGGGAAACAGTACAAAGCAAGAAAGAATGGATGGGAAGTCGAGAAGCAGCAATGCAACAAGGCAACAAAGCAGACAAAGTAACAAGTAGCAACAAACCACAAAGCGAAAAAATAAAAATAAAAATGGTGATAGATTTTTTTGTCGGACTTGCATAGAGTTGTCAGGATGCTGAACTCTGGACAACCTGCGCAATCCTCGTATTTGATAGCTCGGGCATGAACGAGTTGACCCATGTTGAAGGCAGACTGTCCCCAAGTGGAACATAGCAGCAGACAGCGACCCTGCGGAGCACCAGGCAACGCAGTAGAGGCAACATGGGTGCATGACGCCAACTGCAAGGAACGACAGAGCAAGCGGGCAAGCAGCATGGCAACAGCGCAGTGAAGCACAAAGCAACACCAACTCCGCAGCCATGCACAAAGCAGCAGGCAGCAACTCTACGAAGCACCAGGCAACGCTGTCCGAGCAACCTGATTGCATAACGACGAAGACGACTGCTAGGAACGGCAGGGTGAGCGGACGAGCAGTATGGCAACCTTGCAGCGATGCATAAGGCAACACAAACAAGGCAACCAAACTACAAGGCATGCAAGCAACAGACATGGAAGGCACGGCCAGCAGATGGGAGTCAACGCAGCGGAGCAGCGAATCTTAAGGCAACACCAACAAGACCAGACCACACAGCGAGGACATAGCTTGGCAAGAACAACCTGCGAAGCAAGCGGAACAGGCAGCAAGGCAGCGGTGGAGCGCAGACAAGGCAGTCCACACATCCAACACAGAGCGGCACATCACCCACTCACATCACGGGTGAACCTAGCAGACTGTTGGTTCCCACCACCCACTGAGCCAGGGAGTTGCTCCAACCAGCAACTGTCGTCACCGTAAGGCAGACATACATCCCTAACTGACTAACCCCCCTAAGAGTGATGCAGGGTCTCCAAATCAGGAATGACAAATTGTTGGGCACTACTTAAAGGTGCTCAGTTGGGAAGACAAAAGTTAGAAAAAACAAAAAAAGAAGGATTAGAACTGGAAACCTTGTGTTCGTATGAGTTAGGAAAACAAAAGAACATTATAAAAAGATTGTCTGGGTGGGTAGACTTTGTGTGTGTGTGTGGCGAAGCCACCGTGAGTAACGTCATGGCCAGGTGCAAAACTTTGCGCATACGGAATTCAACCAAACATCAAACGACCAGCATCCGGTAGGTGAATTATTGTGCGAGAAACAGGAACTCTCATGCGTGGAGATGCTTTGCACACATTCATCACAAATCAATTGAAAGCAAAAAGATTGCACAAGCTATTTCCAGCCAAGAGGATGATAAAATGAAGTATCAAGGCTATTTAGAGAATATAGGAGGAAAAAAGGGGGGGGGGGGGGATGAGTAAGCAAAGAAAGGAAATTGAAAAGACAAGGACGGGTGTGAACAGATGAAAAGTCAGATGAGGGAGAAATAGAGTGGGGGGGGGGGAAGGGGAGGGGGGGATTCCAGTACTCGTAAGCAAGGAGTGAGTACGACCTCCGTAGCACCTTGTTCGCGTTCGGAGGCGAACGCGAACAAGCGCCCAAAACCCTCCGAACGCGAACATAAAAATTATTAAAAAAAAAAAAAAAAAAAAAGTTATCAGAAAAATCTGAAAAAAGAAATGTGTCATGTAAAATAACAATACAAGCAACTTTTGCCTTGGAGTCATGTTCAAATTCGTAGCCAATCACGAGTCAAAAATCCAAAACCGAAATTTCTTTTGTTTCTTTTTACCAAAAAGAATTATGTTCTATGACCATGCTGATGCAAAATCGTGAAACGAGCGAATATAATCCAGTTCAGCATCCAGCCAGCTCAATTCGAACAATATCAAGCACATCCATCATTCAAAAGAAGAGTCGCGGAGAGCAAGGGCAGGCCCTCGGCTAGCAAGGCGAAATTACTGCACCAAAATGTACAGATCCGATGTCAAGACTATGCGAAGTGAACCCAGACAAGGGCAAGGTTATCCAGATTTTCTACTGAGTGGGCAATGGAATCTCATTTCTTTAGCATGCAAAAGCACGAATCTCAAGGACAACAATCGAAGTTCTCAATGACCTAAATGTTAAGGAATCAAACTCGGCTATAACTACAGCTCGCTGCACAAAGATAACAT